GTATGCCCTGAGGAGGGAATCTCAGTTCGAAATCGCCGGCAGGTTTTTGAGCATCCCCGAGGAGATCAAAGGCATTTTGCTGGAAGAGCAGTCAGGACTCTCCAAGCAGAGCATGCAGAGTCTTAGAGTGTTGACCAAGGGACAACATTCGTACTCCGAGGTGAAGAAGGCTCTGCAGGTTCTAGACCTTGACGAAGAGAGCATCATCAAGCCGGGGAAGGTCAGCTACTATGGGGACCTCGCGGAGAACGAGGACACAGACTCCGAGGTCGATGATGAGGTGATCTTCAATGCCCTGGAGTATAACGAGGTGCGAGAAGAGGAAGCCGTGTCGTTAATGGCTGATCTTCAACAAGATCGACGGCGCACGTGGAAAGAAAACAAGCTGCTGAAGGCCGCCAGAAAGAAAGACCGCAGACACTTTGACGACAAGTCCTCGAGGCCGTCCAAACCTTTTCACAAGAGACGGTTGTCGATCGAGGAGATCAAGAAGGTGACTTTCTGTGGCAACTGCGGTAAGAAAGGTCATTGGAGAGAAGATTGCCACGAGCCCAGTCAAGATGGTTTCAGAGCGTCTAGAGACAAGAACACCAAGGTGTCAGCTTTTGCCTATTTTGGCCACTCGGACGAAGCCAGTCGTTCGAGTCCCTCATTCCTGGTGAGCTATGGCAGCTTTCAGGCGACGGATCAGGCATGTTTCCTGGAACTGTCTCCCGGGGAAGCCATAGTTGATCCTGGTGCTTCGCAGGATCTGGTGGGACTTCGCAGCTTCGAGAAGCTTCAGGCCAAGCTGAAGGAGAATGGCTTGAGGACAATCAAGCTGCAAGAAACGCCCTCGAAGGCGTCGGGAGTGGGAGGAGCTGCCAAGACCCTGTTCATGGCGCTTGCACCCTGCATCCTGGGGGGGGCAACCAGGTGTGATCAAGCTCACCGTTGTGGAAGACGACATTCCTCAGCTGCTGTCCATCGGCCTTTTGGAACACGGACACGCGGTGATTGACACCAAAGAGGACAAGATCCATTTCAAGCGGTTTGACACCATGGCCAGGATGTGGCGCCTCCCTTCGGGTCATCGAACACTGGCTGTAGCAGAGTGGGATGGTAGTGATTTTCCAGTGCCTCCGCAAGTGACGGAGAAGTATGGCCTGCCAGCAGGTGCTTTCAACCTGCACTCGAGCGATCGTGAGGCGTGTCCGATGCAGAGCTCTCTCAGTTCTTTTGTCTAGCAGGCGTAAGCAGGCCACAGGTACGTCAGGCTAAAGCCGTGAAATCCAAGTTGCTTGGTAATTTCTTCCTGTTTCCCGCCTTTTCAGATTTTGCAGAACATTGGAACTTCCGCACCTCATGGGTCACGTTGGGAGGGAGAGCATGTCTTCTTGAACGAAACGCGAAACGACACGACGCTTCAGACGCTTCCTTTTTGAGCAGAGAACTTGAAGTCACTGACTGTCAGCTAGATTTCACGAAACAACATTGGTCTGAGTCTGAAATCATTTCCCTTTTTTCGCATGAAGAGATTCATTTGTCAGTGCATGACGCATTCATCACCTGTCTTGACACGGATCGTTCCCTCGTCGCCTCTAGCAAGCTTGAAACGACACTCCGCGAAGACGACAAACGAGCCCAATACTTGATCTCAAGCTATCGAAATGGCGATGCAGGGCGTGCTCAACACCCGTGTGAAGAAATCAAGGATCCGCTCCGAGCAGGATCGGGAAACCTTGGAGAATCACTGGTTTCACTTCACGAGAAAGCTGCTCATGGTGAACGGCGGTCCAGCTGCACTGAAGAATTTGAACAAGAGCGCGTATCCCGGGGACTTCACCACGTCTCGTCCGGTACCTTCACAAGGAATGATTCCCTCTTCGGAGAAGGTGCAGCAGGCTTGCACACATCCGAAGGAGTATCAGACAAAGGGAGCCAATCAACACGGCACTTGGACCCGATGCAGTCTGTGTCAAACCAAAACAGGCTATCAGAAATATGGTCCGGACAACCCACCTCCGAAGACGAAGGGTGCCGTGGTCGAGACCTATGTGGCCTCGGAAGCAATGGGCACCACCAGGGTGCCGATGGGGGCGAGCAGTTCAGAATCTCCTCAGCCCCTCATGCCAGACTTGGAGACGGCCTTCAGAGGACAGAATCAGCAGCTCGTGCAGAGCACGGCGGCGGTGATGGCCCAAGTGATGACGCCAGTGGTGGAGGGATTTCATCAAGCCCTTCGATACCAAGCGGAAGAATCCCAGAGAGCTCAGGAAAGGCAGGAGACTCAGATGCAGCAATCCTTTCTGGCCCTTCAGAGGATCATGCAGCAGACGGATCCAGCTCGCCAGCCAGGGGCTGCCTTTCCTGCCCTCCCTCCGGAGGAATTGCATCGTCTTCTGGCTCAGGGATTTGCGATGGCCAGTCAACATCCGCTGCCGGAAGACGAGGACTGGGATTCTGTGCAGCGTGGGCCTCCTCACGGAGGCATGGGACGCTGAGAGACGTAGAGGCCGCCGATAGTTTCACATCGTCATCATCCGAGGATGGAACCTTTAAGTGTACAGATTCTAGCTCTATTCAATGGATGGTAGTGTCTCGAAATGAGACGTCAAGACGATTCTTAAGCCAAAGGGAGAATCTTGTTTGCTTCTCTGGAGTGCAGAGGGCTTCAGGAGGCGAGACTCGTGAAGTGTTTGTTTTCTTCGATGAGGATTTAGCTGATGAGCTGATTTGTAGTGAATTCCCCGAAGGCAGAGAATCTCACCTTTCTAAGCGGCAGAAGAGAGCACTGTTGAATTCAATAGAGAGTCTTTCGAAATCCACCGAATTCAGTGATGAGCCAAAGAGCTCTGTGGTAGAAGTGAACCAAGAGTGGTCACAAGAACAAAACGCAGAGCCGGAGAGCCTTTCAAGAAATGAAGAAGAGCCTGATGGCCAGTCAAGAACAAAGAAAGAGCCTGTGAGCCAATCAAGACAGACTAGAGAAGCTGTTAGTCGTCTGACAGAACAAAAGTGTCTCACTCGACCCGTTCGCTTCGATCGAAACGTCACACCTAGCTCGCAAGAGCTTAGTGCCCTGGGGGTAGTCAACGTTCGAAGGTGTCGCCATGGAGACTTGGAGAAGAGACCGACCTCGAGTCTCAAGGTGATGGAACTTTTCTCTCCTCCAAGAATCACACAGGAAGCAGCTCAAGCAGGACTTCAAGTCACTGAGCCATCCAACTTCGACTTGAAGCTAGGCTGGAACGCACTGTGTCCAGAAGATCGAAAGAAGATGTGGAAAACCATAGAAGAACAAGAGCCAGGTGTCATCCTCATGAGTCCCGACTGCAAGATGTTCAGTCAGCTGATGAATGTGAACTTGAAACGTATTCCAGTCGAGAAGCTCACTCGTCAGCAGATGGAGGCTCTGGTGATGTGGCATCTTTGTTTGCAAGTGGCCGAACACCAGATGAAGAAAGGTCGCTATTTCGTCCTGGAGCAGCCGGCTGGAGCCTCGTCCTGGTCAACGCACGGAAGTAAGTGGCTGATGGAAAATGATGAGGTCTTTTTCTTTTTCTTTGACCAGTGTGAGCTAGGACTTCAGGTGTGCCCAGAGGGTCCCTCGCGAAAGACGACCGCCCTGGCTACGAACCATTTGGGAGTGGCGGCAGTCATGTCGCAGTACCAGTGCCGGAGATCGCATGAGCATGTCCGACTGGAAAATGGGCTTCCAAAGAAGGCTCAAGTATATCCCCCAGACATGGTCAGGTCATTGATTCAGGGTATCCTCATGGGTGCCAGTGAGTTCGTTGGCGCCACTCACGTCGACGATGTGATAGATGAGGACGAGGCAGAACAAGAAGGAGTTGAACGACAACCTCGCACTCCTGGCACTCTTCAGAGAGATCTCTCCGACCAACTGACGGAAGAGCAGAAGAAGAAGATCACGCTCATGCATCTCAACATGGGACACTTGAGCAAGGATCAGATGCTTGCTATGCTCAAGGCGGCCGGTGCTAAGGAGGGTGTTCTCAGATACGTCAAAGACAAGTTCAGGTGCGAGCATTGCATGAGACAAAGGAAACCAGTGGAGCGTAGACATGCTGCCTTGCCACGCACGTTTTCATTCAACAGAATCGTAGCCCTGGACTATTTTTTTCCTGTCCTTCTCCAATCGGACGTTCGCCTTCCTGAACGCAATCTGTCATGGCACCAATTTTCAACAGGTGGGTCTGCTACGGAACTATGAAGGTGGTGTTCCCTCCTCCTCAGAAACATGGACTTTGTTCAACCGTGTTTGGATTCAACCGTTTGGCCTTCCGGAAACAATAGTGTGTGATGGTGGTTCAGAGTTCAAGCAATCATTTGAACGATCGGTCGAACAGCATGGAATACTCCAGATCATCACAGATGCAGCCTCACCGTGGCAGAACGGAAAAGTTGAGCGCCACGGAGGATGGGTTAAGGAGAGAGCTGAGCTAGAGATCAACTCGGGTCAAACTACGCTCATTGAAAGCTCTGACTTGGAAGAACTGGTTCTCTCCATAGTGGCCTGCAAAAACAGATGGTTCTCGAGAAGCGGGTATAGTCCATGCCAACTTGTCTTCGGAGCTAATCCACGTGTGCCAGCAGAGTTGCTATCAGATGACACGTTGCAAGAGATAGGATGGCAGGAGATTGAGACCGACCCTTTTGACCAAGACACTGCCGCAGCAGCCTACAATAGATCACACCAAATTCGACAAAGAGCCAGACAACTCTGTGTGGAAGCGTCATGTCGGGAGAAGATTCGTCTGAGCTCCACTCATAGAGCTCACAAACAAAGACAGTGGGCGATCGGACAGTGGGTGTTCGTGTGGCGAAAGTTTCCTGGCACGGGGCAAGGGCATTTGACTAGAGCTAGATGGACAGGACCAGGCATAGTGGTCTTGCAGGCTGGACACACAGTGTGGGTGTCCATGCGAGCTCGACTTTGGAAGTGCAATTCAGATCAACTCCGACCAGCTTCCCACTTTGAGTCCATAGGAGCTGAGATGGCTCGCTCGGGTGAACTTCAGGAGCTCGTGAAGCAAGGCAGATCTAGTAAAGCTGGTGCTGTGGATGTGACTTTAGAAGGAACTCCTCCTCCTGACGAAGAACAACAGCTAGTACCAACAACAGAAGTGGCGCAGCCTTTGGTACATGAGACGATCAGAGCAGATGACAACAGTCAACAAGGAGAAGGACAAGAGCACGTCCCCTTGAGAGAGATTCGTGTGCCAGCACCCGTGATAGCTGACGAGGATGCGGATTCCGCGACCATCGACTCGGTCAGTGACAAGCCTCTCTCAAGCAAGAGAAAATCAGAAGAGCCCAGATGTGATGACGGTCAGAACAAGAAGAAGATGATAGAAGAAGACAGAGACAAGAAGAAGAAACCAACGGGGCAGAAGAGGACAGTCGTTGACACAGATCAAGAACGACTGGAGAGGATCGCCATGCAGACCATGAGAAGACTGGATAGAGAAGAGAAGATTCGGAGGTTGCGCGACAGGGGAGAGAGCGCGCCCGATCTCTCGAATTCGAGCGCTTCGGCATCATCAATTCCTTCCGGTTCAGCATCCTCAACAAGACCAGATCTAGACAAAATTCAGGAAGAAGAAGACGACAAGGAAACCTCCGAGCAGAAAGAAGAGCTCATGAGCCACATGTCTGAGGCCGGTATTGATTTCTTCGAGATTTCCGGCTCAGAAGCTTGTCTCATGGCCAAGCCCTACAAAAGCAAGTCTCAAGAGTTCAACATGAAGGAGGCTACACCAGAAGAAAAAGAAGGCTTTCGAGCATCAGACAGAGCAGAGTGGGAGACAATACAAGATCTTCACGCCGTCAGAGTGCTCACATTGAAGGAATCCAGACAGATCAGAAGAGAACGACCTCATCGCATACTGCAGTCAAGGTTTGTCAGAAGAAAGAAGCCCATGCCTGGAGTAGGCAAGTGGAAATTCAAGTCTCGATGGTGTGTGCTTGGCCACAGTGATCCAGATAGCGGCACTTACACCACGTACTCTCCCATGCCGATGACCGAAAGCATCTCCATCTTTTTTCAGCTTTGCACCAACATGAACATGTGTGTGACCTTTTGCGACGTGACTCAAGCATTCTGCCAGTCCGAACCTTTAGATAGGCCACAGGGTGGACTCTATGTTGAAGCTTGTGAAGGACTAGGTCTTCCTGCCGGAACCCTGGTTCAACTGGTAGCTCCAGTATATGGTCTGGAAGATGCCCCGATTCGGTGGCATCAAACAGTCATTCATTTTCTCATGGAGCTCGGTTTTCAACGAAGTTTGCTGGAACCATGTTGGTATGTGAGAAGGGATGAGAACAATGAAGTGGAGGCCATGATTTTGGTCGAAGTTGACGACCTGAACGTGGCAGCCAGACCAGAACTGAGAGATCAGCTTCTAGACACTCTCGCTTCTAGGTTTCGTTTTGGCAAAATGGAGTATGACGAGGCTGACTTTGCTGGGCGACATGTCAAGATCCTACCGAGCCGAATTGAGATGAATCAAGAAAAATACATCCTCGAGAAGCTCCATCCGGTGAAGTTGTCTCTCGGCCGAAAAGGCAACAAGTCGGCAACCTTGCTACCAGATGAGTTTGAAAGCTTTAGATCTATGCTATATCGAGTAGCGTGGGTGGCACACCAAACCCGACCAGAAGCAGCAGGCGCAGTCAGCATCCTGTCATCTAGGTTGAAAGAAGCAGTGATCCATGACATTTGTTGTCTGAACAAATTGATAGCGCATTTGAGAAATACGGCTCAACAGTCGCTCACACTGCACAGCTTCAACAATGACGACATGATTCTGATTTCAGCCTCGGACGCAGGAGGTGTTGATGGGTTACCTCCGCCCGGATCCAATGAAACAGACACCGTGCAAGGTGCTTGGGTGATCATGGCAGCAGATCAGCTTCCAAGCGCGTCAAATCGAACCAAGGTGAGCATACTAAGCTGGAGATCCTCCAAGCTCAGACGAAAAGTGGCATCAACATTAGCCAGCGAAGCTCTTGCCTTCAGTCAATCGTTGGGCGAGGTCGAATGGATACAGATCATGATCAGGGACATTGTGAAAGGAGACGTTTCCAGGAAGGACTGGACGCTTTCACTTGCTCCCCACTATCCTGTTCTCCGAGAAAATTGTGAGTTGGCAGAAAGGCTTCAACAATGTCACATTACTGACGCCAAAAGCCTGTATGATGCCCTGCTGAAAGAATCACCAATGTCTCGACAGGATAGAAGAACATCAGTCGAACTGAGCATCATTTTGGAATCGCTGCAGAAAGCCAGAAGTGTCGTTCGTTGGGCTCCGCATCCTCGTATGGTGGCTGACGGACTCACAAAAGCTGACATAACACGTTCCAATGGTGCTCTAGAAGAACTGCTCAGAACTTCACGACTAGCTTTGTGGGATGAGAGCGAGGAACTTAGATTAAGGAAGACTGATCCAAAGGCCAGAGGCCGCACCAAAGGTGCATCTACTAGGTTGCGACAAAGCGAAGCCAACTTGACAGCCCTCGTGTTCCCCAGTCGAATCAACAGAAATTTCGGGGTGCTGTCAGTTGTTTCCATCATTTGATTCTCTGTGGTTCCGATGCATGTTGGCTTCCAGACGTCGCTACCCGTCCCCTTCTGATGCATGCGCATGTGGTGGAAATGGCGCTGAGTTAGGTTCTCTCGCAGGTCCTCCGGGTTCTATCACCACCAAGTCGTAGAGCGAGCCAAATGTGGGCCCTGGCAGGATCTTTGTTCAATGGTCCATGTTAGTCAACTCCGATTTTTATGGGAATTCACTCAGATTTATAGTATATTCAATTGCAATTTGCAGGAGGTCATAAGCCTTGGATTCTCCCAACCACGACCTTCCACAGCTTTCGCCAGGTACGGCGTCCGGAAGCTGAAATCCGTCGGCCCCGCGGTGGGGCGCGGGGGCCGAGCCGCTTTCCGGTCCTCCAAAGGGGAACACCGCGACCCCGGGGCCGGTTTTCGTCTGTTTTTTTTCTGGCAAATTCTCGGGCAGGCTCCTTTTTTGCAGAGCAATCAACCTAGCACCCGCAGTTCTGAAGAGCATTTGTATTATTTGATCGCTCAGGTCTTTCGAGCAAAAGCAACCTGGGAAGAGACCAGTTGGAGAATTTTGGGTGACACCCACAGTTTGTTGTTTTTTCTCATGTATTCACTGGGAGGGGGGAATGAGGCGCGGACACGCCTGCCAAGTGTCGGTCCAAATAGGCACGTTTGCCACAGACAGTGACCCTTTTGAGGTTGACTGCGCAGCTGCTTGCAGCTTGAAGTGGGTGTGGTGTAGGAAGCTCCCAACCCGTGGATTTTCTCTTTTTGTATCTCAAAAGTGCGTCCGAGGGACGCGCGTTTGGAGATATGACCGGCGATGCCTGAAGGGGAGGCCAGAACAAAAGGGTTGACATGGTTGATATGGTTGTCTATACCTAGAGCCCAATTGACCTCTGTTTTGATAGGATATTGAAAAGACCATAAAACATGTGTGGTTGTGTGCACTGTTGTTGATGTATTCTGTTTTCTTGTCTTGCAATATTTATTGCACTCTGCTGTGAGTGTGCTGTTGAGTGACTCTCTTCATGGCAAGCCTACATGAACCAGAAACAGCTGAAATGGAGGTCTTTTTCCTGAAACGGCAGTTCTTGAAACGGCTGAATTCCCATCCCAGATTCCAGGTGGAGGACATTTGTATCTCCAGAGGTTATAGGTATAACATGGTAAACTATACACTACAGATACCAGTGGCTTTCCGGCCCCTAGCCGCCAAAAGCCCAGCACTTCGATCTACGACCATCTCAATCGATTCAACCTGAGTCACCTCCAGAACGATTTTACTGAGGTCACCATGCACTTCCTGAACTTTTGTTCACCTGGGCTGCTCTTGGGCCCTTAGGTGTTTGGGTCGTTGAACACGCTCCAAAACCTGTGCCAGCTGGTCCACCTGGCACTCAGGCCTGAGCTGGCTGTGATGGAAGCCTGGCCCAGCAACAAGCGTGTAGGCGAGGTGGGTTGCGCCGTTTCGTTTTTCGTGCCTGGAACGTTGACTGTATTTGAAACCATGAGTGATACGGCCTCTGGGGTGGTCGTGATTGGTTCATGAACATCCGAGCACTTCCTTTGGCGGCAAATGATGGAACCCCTATTACTGGCGCCTTCCCCCCAAAAAAGGGGCGAGTCAGGAGTTGTTCGTGAGCTGGTCCGTTCATGTGTGGGATGGTTTATGTTTGGTGCACTCGCCCGACTGGCTCCACTGGCCCGATCCGCATGGAAAGTGAAGGGAGCTCATGGCTGCTAAGCTGAGAAGCAAACATCGTCTTGCGGAGCCTTTGTTGTTTGACTGGGTAGGGGGGGCAAACTTGAGCTTGGATGATATTAACTTCATTTTGGCTTACAAATTAGCTTTGAGGTGGACCCTCTCAAAGATGACAAATCAACATATGTTAACTGACTGGGTGAGGTTCTTCATCCGAGCCTTGCTTTTCAACTGATGTCCAAAGCGCAATAAAGAGGTTGTTTTGGGTGTCTAACACGGCCTTTGGTTCCCTTTTGTGTTCTCACCGACCCCCACGAATGGTGTCAGGCGTTGGAGAGGAGGGCGAGGTCTGTGTGAAAGGTCCATGTGTGGGGCGCCGCAGCATCGGCACCGCGCGCGGCCCGCGCGCATTGGATCCATGGGGCGTGGGGCCTTTGGGTCTCCAAACAACGCATGGAACAGCGTGGAACCATGGAATGACCGTTGAAATACCATAAATACGGTTATTTGGTCATTCAATTTGGGGCGGTGTCTGCGTCGTGACCCATAGGTGAGTGTCCATCACGCCATGGTGGCCCATGTTCCAACGATGCGGAACACGCAAGGGTCAGGAGTCTGAGGGTCAGACTTCACTTCAAGACTGAACTTCGCACTCCTGTTGCCAATCAATGCGACCACCGACCGAGTTAGGTGATGAAGGGCTATGAGATGCGGCCCCATATGGACAAGGCTGTCATGCTGTTCTTTCAGCTCTGCGACTCCCGCAGAGCTGCTTTTTGGGGGGATCGGCGCGTACTGCGGCGCCTGCTTGCGGGTTGATGGAGGAAACCTGGAAAACCACCGGGGGAGGCTGACCACCTCCACTTTTGTTTGGGGGAATGGCTTTCAGTGGCTGAAGTTCAACAGAGATCCGACTACCAGGACTCTTGAATGATGTGGACTCACCTACCCAACCACAGGCTGAAAGAAAAGGATCAATCCTCAATGGTCGAGAATGGTTGGCCTTTTCAATTCCAACTTCAAGACTCAAACTTTGAGCTGCGAAGGTGAAAGGATGTACCTTCCGTTTCAGATGAGTTTTGGGCGCTCACTGCATCACCAGTTCGCCCCCCAAGCGATGAGCTTGGCAGACCACTCCCTCAATGAAAACTGGGCCACTGGAAAACAAGAGGAACAGTGGCCTCTTGTTACTTCTCTTGTTCTCTGTAAGTCAGCCAGGCAGCCAGTGTCCTCTTGGACAACCGAAAACAAAGAAGAGGATAACCGAAAACAACCAGAGGACAGCCTCTGGTCACTTCTCTTCACCATTCTTCACCCCTTCGGATCACCGTTCCAAACCAACGACGGTTTAGTCCCGAACCCACCACGGTTCAGTCGAGGACGGTTCAGTCCCGCCGGTTCGGGCGACGGTTCGGCGGTTCCGGGGAGGCCTCTTAGAGGTGGGCTCTGTTGGTTTGGAGCGAACGCAGGACCCCAACGCGGAGGCCTTCACCGACGGCTACATGAGAAGTGGCTTCGCCCCGGACCACGACGACCGCGAACGTCCAACGGGGGTTTGGTGTGATCGGTGGGATGGTTGGACAACATCTGGACATCTTCGACTTGTTGTTTGGTGCCGCTCGCACTGGTGACACGGTGATATGGTGGGGCTTTTTCAGTTTTTTCAATTTTTCCATGTGGGTTGGTCAACTCGGGGTCAGCGGTTCTTGGAGATGAAGTAGGACAAATACATGAAGGGCCCAAGACATGGAGAGGAAGTTATGACCATGCATAGGACTTATAGGACAGAAATGAACACATCACCTTCTCAACTTCTCCGCATGCTTTTGAGCGGTGCAGAGGGGGGTGGTTGGCATTGGTAGTAGTGCTTGCATGTGCAAGCAACCATCCCATTCCAATCACATGAGCATGAAGTGTTGGTGATGTTGCATGGTTGTTTATTTTATGACTCCTTTGTGTAAGCCACAGGTTGACTTCTTGATACCCCGGACCTCGTTCCACAAACCGATCTCTTCGTTCCATCACCGATCCTGCCGCGTCGCTACCTCCAACCTTTCGGCAGGCTACGTTTCGGCATGTTTCGGCTGCGTCTCAGGTGGCGACAAAGGCTGGATGGATGAGGATGGTTACCTCTACCTCATTGGTTCCGGGCCCCCGGTGTCGCGCGCGTCGAAGAAAGAGCGCCGTTGTCGTGGGGGGCGGGTTGTGGGGGCAGCTGCAGACGAGCGCGGTTTCAAATGAAGAGGAGGGTCTTAGAGGTCTTAGGGTCATAGAGCAGTTCAAAGTGGAAGATGTCATGCCCCTGTTTCTGTAATTCGGTTGGTCGTAGATGTCACAAGTGGAGGAACTAATATGATAGTCATATACCTCACATAGCTCATCACACCGACCTTCCTCAGCTCCACACGGTCGTTTTGCCACCGGTTTCCTCGTCTCAAACCTCTACAGGTCAGATCCGACCCTGACCCTCGGTCCGGTCAACAGACTCTCTGGGGTGTGTGAGGCTCCACGACTCTCCACCTGGTCCGATCCCAAAAAGTTTCAAACCTCTTCTGCCTCTGAACAATCTCAGGTGAAGAGTGTCTCTTTCCGTCGCGTGACACACTTCCGCGGTGGTTCCGCCGCGTGACGAACGCACAGCGCGCGGTGGGTGGACACCCAGGTCGCTTCAAAGAGCTCATCAACCGCGCGGGCGAGAAGGTGGCCCAAAGTGATGTGGGATCGGTGAAAGGTGCGGAGGTGGGACATCCGGCACAAAGCTTGCAGGTCGGATGATGATTTGAGGGTTCAGACTGATCACTCCCATTAGTTGGCAAAGGTTTCGGAACCCATACCCCCAGAAGGGTTGCATTCTTTGCGAATGGCCATGGAAGGCGAAGGAATTCCTTGCAGACAAGAAGACCTCACAGACATGGATTGCCCTCTTTGGATCAACAGTGGATGGAGTTTCGTCATCTTCAACTCAAGGAGGGACTTTGAATAGAAAGGGATAGAAAGGGTCCTGTTTCTTCGGTGCCAGGTTGTGCAATGGGGACTGGTCTGCAAGTGGGCTCTCCGTAGTGAGCCACCCTGGGCCCTGGATCTTGCAAATCTCTGGATCTGATCAATACCACCACCTGGCAGCTGAAAGCACTGAAAACTGGTCTCTAGAAGTCTGAGCCGTTGCCACAGCACCCATGTGCCACCGAAAACTGCCTGAACCTACCGCCGATGGCCTCCAACCTACTGGACACTTCTTGAACTACTAGGGTCTATTGAACTTGGTCCACCAAGTGGTGGACTCTTGAACTTTTGAACCCAAGAGGGTCTCTTGAGCACCGATCGCCTCGCTCACGGGCACGATCGCCTCGCTCACCGTCGCGGCCGGTCGTACCCCGCAGATCTCACCCTTCGAAGTGGAAGATGCGTTCCTTGGTGAGTTTTTTCTTTTCCCGCCAGGGTGAGAGGGTCATCCTTGACGAGGTGGAAGGTTTTCTTTTCTTGAATGACGAGACCCCAACACGGACCCATCTTCCCACCTACAAGATCAGCTTTGAGGAAGTCCAGAGTTCGCCACCTTGAAGCTTTATACTTGACCTCATTATAGGATATGATAGGTGGAACCCAGACTATGAAGTCGAAATGCAGCCAAGTCCTTTTGTTCGGAATTCGGATGAGAAGGTTAGAACCAGAAGGGTGGAGATGGAACTTGCCCTCATCCAAACACAGCCAAGACGAAGTGTGGGAAGAAAGGAGAAAAGGCGATCAATGATGATGCTTTGTTTCCAGGTCTCTTTCCATGAGCTAGCAGTAAAGCCGCGGATTGGGCTGGCGACTAGCGAGGTTCGCACAACGCCGAACCCTCAAAAGACAGCATGTCGAAGGATGCTCGTTTGTAAGGGTTCTAGGACTTCCTTGGCATCCAGAGCTTTTTGCCACTACACCAGAGACCTGATGGTGAGAATTACGACTAAAGCACCTACGCACCAGTGGTTTCAGCACCGACTCCACAGCGAAGCATGATCCTAAGGTCCTATGACCAGCAGGTTTTGTGGATATGTAAACCACAAAAACACACTCAAAGTTCTTGCAGGTTTTGATCCTATGAACACCTAAAGCACAAAAACATCTGGCTTCGCCACCTCACCCTGCTTTGTTGCCCGGACCTTCCGCTGAGGGGCGAAGGCTTCGCCCGGACCGTCTCGCTCGGACTGAGGATCCGGCGACATGCAGACGTCAGTGATGTCCTTTGCTTCTCCTGTTTGGACCTTGGGAGCAAAACAAAGAGCAGCGGACCGGCTTTGTTTCTTTGTTGGGCTTTTTTTGGTCGAACGCCTCTACAAAGTCATTACAAAGTCTGTGCCAGGTGACAGGTGCACCCATGTCCAGAATATCTATTTATGTGTATTACCCTTTTAGGTAGCAGACTCTGATATCGTTTCGTCGATTGGAACTGTCCCACGACTTCTCTTAAGCATCGATGATCTAGGCACCGGCAGGGCGGCGGGGTTTCGGGTCTGAGGCCCGCATTCCATGCTGGGGGAAGCTGTGGGCCAGGAGCTCGGTCGAATGGGATGGGGCGCGGGCGCACCCGCTGAAAGGAAGGAACATGAAACACAAAGGGCTTCAGAGTGAAGAAACGGCCTATCCAAATAGAGTTTCAGGATGTTTGATCCCTATTCGAATCGGATTGTGGATAGAACTCTAAGGGTTTTGGAGGGGTGCCAGAGTGGCTGTGAGACCGAAGCCTTTGGGATGAGCTTCAGCACCAAGCACATGGCACATGGCTCCACTCACCGCACCACTCGATGCTGAGGCGCGGTCATCATCCCCAAGGCGAGTGGACGGTCGGTCGGCCAGCGGAGAGGCTTCGCATGAGAAGTGCGTTCATGTGGGGAGCTCCTTATAACTACACTCCCGAAAACTCATGTGTTGACCCTGACAATGACTCCCTGGAAGATGGTTTCCTCTACCAACCAGTGGTTTTTTTCAGGGTCCATGTTAGTCTTCCAGGGTGTAAGTTTTGTGTTGCCCGTTTTGTGGGTCACAGCTTCTTGCCCCCAATAATTTGTCATCAATTTGTTGCTGCCTATCCACGAATTTTGTTGCACAATGACATGGGCAGAGGATGTCCAGCTTGGTGCAAGACCGGCAAACATGTTCGGTTCACTTTACCTAGCTCTCCACAAGAACCCTCCCGGAGTTGCTTTTGTTGCAACGCCTGACACAGTGACGTGTCAGGTGAAGCCTGGACTTCTCAAGCAAGGCGTAGGCGTAGATGAGCCACGGTAGGTAGCCCGTGGATGAGTCATGAGGGGCTCCGTAGGTGGAACTGCACGGTTGTCACACCAAGCCCGCCCTGCTGGTTCGGGCCATGCCCAGCTTCGCTTTCCGACCAACCCCGCTGCTGCGATCTTTGGTGCAAGTTTTGGGTCAAAACAACACTGAAGAGCCATGGAATTCTCACGAGTTCTCAAGACAACCTGCCACATCTCCTCTGAGAACACACAGGAGTCATGAGACGGGTGGGTCGCCTGTCGGATGTCCTGCTGGGATGTCCTCTCTCCCAGGAAGGCAAAACGGTGAAGCTCTTCGACCTTCGCCAGTGGCTCATGAAGGACAAGGCACTTGGTCTTGGGGCACCGGACCTTGGGGCAGATTCTCACCTTGAAGAGTCGCAGAAATCACATCCACCAAGATCCAATTCATCACCCTGAACCGGATCGTTAAGAATACCACTCTGAACCAGTGTACTGGTACGTCTTCTTGGCTTTTCACATCCTTGGCTTTTCGCCTTCCCGCTTGTCCTGCTTCGATGTTGCCCCCCGCGGGACCGGGACCGGCAGGTCTTGCAAGACAAGTGGTGTCCGGAGGTGTGACGTTGGTGTCAACTGCGGACGTTTCTGGAACGGCGGGTGGAAGGAGTCTTTGTCGGGGTTCTAACAGACGGTTTCGAAGAGATGATCAGTGAAAAGATGGCATCCACACAGTTCTTTTGTAGAAAAGGCATGTCATGTGCTTTTTGCTTGTCAACCATTTATATACTCAAAATACTTGCATTTTTGCGGCATATACCAGGTTTTAGCTTCTTTCTTGAAAATCCTGCATATTACAAAGTCGAGACCATGATCAAGAACCAGATAACTGCGAAAGCAGTGCATGATGCAAATGGCTAGGATCAGAAGATCATTTTCCTTGTTTAGCCGAACAGAAGCTTTGCACTTCCGTGAGTTAGTTTTGCAGATGACATAAAATGCTATCAATCTAAATTTTGCCCTCGCTATTCAGAAGTTTCACAAATCAGGATCTATATATTTCGTTCCGAAGTATATATTCCTTCCAAAGTTGCCTAGAAAACGGTGCAAGTGTCTCCACCAGGAGCTTTTAGAAGGGGCGGAAGGAGCGGGAATGGGCATGATGTTTCGCTGTTGTGTGACCCTGCTTGGCTGGCAAATCGGTACTTACGTTCTGTTCAACTGCACAAACTGGATGACACTGGCATCAAACAGGTCGTACTTGCAACTGGGTGCAGCTTGGGCACATGGCATGTTCCCAGCCTTTTATTGGATGTTTGGGCAGGAAGATGGGGCTGGCTGGGTGTCCTTGTGGCATGTTCTGGTCCTAAAATACGTTCCACTAGATCCTGGGCACTTGCGAAACCAATCCTTCGACCTCAGGAGGATTGGGTGAAACTAGGTGAAACCCTGAAGACCACCGAAGACCCAACTCCACCGGATGTGATGGTTTCCATTTCTTTCATGTTGTCTTCTCTTTCCGCTTGGAGAACACCAACAGGCCATACAGCGCTTTTGGTTGGAAGCCGCCGATTCCCTCCGAAACAGGTCCTGGTGACCATGAAGGAGCTCCCCAAAGGCGCAGATCTCACGCAGCTCGCGCGAGCTGCATGATCTGGTGTGGTTGCTGGTGGTTTCAAAACAGGTGACTTCAGATCCATAGCTCTTTCAGGTGAAACTTCCATAGCTCTTTCATCGACCTTTGCCTCGGTCGCTGTCCGAGATGCTGGGAGCAGAGAAAGGAACGGCATCGGTGCGTCCGCGACGTGCCACCGGGGGGTGCCACCGCCTTCCAGGTGCCACCGGCAAACCTGCCCGCACGGAGCCACAGCGTGTTGAAAGATTTCAAGACGCGTGTTGAATCGTCTCCGGGCGTTGAGTTGAGACGATTCGGAGGTGCATTTTTAAGCGATGGTTTTTCTGTCTTTTTACTTGTTGTTCGGGGTGCTTTGGGATGATGTTCTTTGTTCAGTCCCCCTGTTGAGACAGGACATACACGGAATTTCAGGGTCCTCAGGGTCCTCTCCTCAGCTGCACTCTACTTCATGTTCACCGACCGATCAGATGGACTGGGAGAGGCGAGCTCCGCAGATCTTGGGTAGATCTGTACAGTCCCTGCAAAAATCATGGAAGTAGAGTTACCTGTTTGTAGATATGTACACTCCCTGCGTAACCTGAAGACCCTGATCTCCCTGGAGTTCACCACCTGTTTGGTATTGGGATTTCAGGGTCTTCAGGTTGTTCGCTCGGCCATGCCACGAGGTGTGAACCTGGCGAAGAAGCTGGAGATTGCGGAGTGCCTTGGCCGGTGCATGAATTGACTGATGCTCGTCAAAGGAAAAAGGTATGACGGCCATTAGAGATTTAACATCTCTAAGGATGTAATTGTTGTGTTTTGTACCTGACGAACCAGACTGTGCTTGAGGATGCTTGAGGCCAGACATAACTATTGACTAGTGAGGATCTGTTTGGATGAAATCCACCAAATCAGTTCAAAGGTGGAGCAGATCCCGCTACTTACAGGGTTTTGGGGTATTGCATTTGCAGCTGAGATCTCGCACTGGGTGCACGATGCGTACGATGTGCACCACTGGCGGCCAGGTTGGATGGAAACCTGAAAGAGTTTTCGCATCCAGGGCTTTAGGCCAGCCGATGGAGGTTGACTCCTCACCTTCATCGGGTTTTAAGAAGTGACATGGAAGTGCTCAACATTTGGGGCCTTGGTCACGAGAGCATAGCATAGATAGTGGAGTTGGATGTGGTAGCCACATATATAGATTTCAGGCACAAGTGAAGGGACTGCAAGTCTGCTTTCCGCAACCCACACCATCTTCACACAGTGCTTCAGCTCCTTGACCAGACAGCCAGCACCGCATATCTGAAGCAGAGAACCACACCGCCCCGCGTCATGAACCTTTTGTCACCACCAGCAAAGGACTGGTGCCAAATTTTGCAAAAGCTATCTCTTTGCATTAGAAAAGGTAGTGGCGCTTTGCCAGTTTGTGTGGTGCCTTTTGATTCATACAGCCATAAGATGCTATAAGTTTACCCTAGATGATGATATTCTGATATATTATGATATTCGACTTTTCCCATGGGTAACCTTTTGAGCCACTTCGAGTTGCTTTGGTCACCGCTAGAGTTAGAGGAGGCGCAGCAGTTTGTTCTTCCTTAAGAAGAACATGACGCGTCTATTGTCGCTTTATCTTGCAAAGTGGGACAATAGCTATGAACATTCAGCATCATTCTGATAGAAGAGCAGTCATTTTTTCAATCGTTCGATGTCAGAGCCACCAAAGCCATACTGGAACATTTGGTGCGCAAGATTGTCATCGATCTTGTTTTCATGGGGATGAATGAATGCGATGCCGAAGTGTTTTTGTAAACTTTAAAGAGATTACTAGGAGACTGAAACAAAGGGTGTCCATGAACCACACCATGAAGGTCAAGGGCTCTCTGTATACATCGCCATTTGTGTCCTCTTGTTGTCGGCTCTGAAGCTGCGGCTTGTGCCTTGTCGGTCGAAGAGGAAGCGAAGAACGAATCGGTGATCAATCGTTGAACACCCACAATGATTTCCAGTTAGAAAGTGGTAGGATAACAGTGTACGCGGATGGATTTTGCTTAGGACAGAGGAGAATATGATGGAGTTTGCTTGGGAAGATTGGAACACAGAGTCTCGCAGAGTCTCTCGAAGAGCTGAGACTTGGCACCGACATGCACAAGACAATCTAAACTCCAAGAATTCGATGCGTAAACTTCGTTCCATCTGGCAACTGTAGAACCTCCCATTACAAGTACACAGAAACCTGGAAGACGTGGTGGATTCGAGACAGTCCAAGTGGTGAAGCGTCCTCAGTGAGCTGGCCCTGTTGAGGTAGCAGCAATGCAAAAAACTCTCTCCTCAATCACCTACAACGATTCAACATGTTCTTCCCCATGCTTCAGTGGGTGTTTGTTTTTGCATCACTTGAGCTGTTGCGCCTTCTCAGCTTCGCCCACGCCTTCCCCCCCCCGCGACGCCGACCCCGAAGAAATGGATGCCGTTCAAGCGGCTCGATCCGATGCTGCGGCCCACAGCGCGGCGTGGGGCTCCTTCTACTGAGCCGCGGCTGAAGCCGGACATCACGAAGTGAAGCGAAAGGAAGACAAAGAAGTAAGTTCTTTTTTCGCGCGAAGGGTTTTCGTTTAACTCTGGGGGTCTGGGGGTAGAGCCTTGTTCGCGACTCGTTGTCTGAGCGCTCGCAACCGTCAGGCGCTATGGCACTCACATTGGGGGAAGCTTTTGGAGAGGGTTTTGGATGGAAGCATGCCGTGTCAGATTCGTGTGAAATAGCGAGGAAACGTGTGGAAACGTGAGAGGATGAAGTGTGGAGCTGTGCAGGCGCAGCGTTTTGTGAGATTTGCAGTTTTCAGCGCAGTCACTTCGGGATTGGCGTTTGGAGGGTGGTGTTTTTGGGGTGTTGGATGTGGCCGTGACATTGGGATTTGCGTTTCAGGGTGTTGCTTCGAAGCTGTGTTTTCGTGACAAGTCTCAGCTCAAATGGCGAGTTTGGTGGATGGGAGTGTGCTCAGAACGCGTCGATATCATACCAAACGTGTGGTGTGGCGCACTTTTCGTGGCAGGCACCGTACTTTGTGCGGTTTTTGAGGTGTGGAAAGGTTGAGGTGTGGCAGAGGTCAGGTCTCACTGGGATTGGCGTGTGAGCGGTGTTGTTTGGAGGGGCTGGAATCGCGAAACTGCTTGGCAGGGCTGCTTGATGCGCGTGCTCCGATGTGGCTTCCCGGAGGAAGTCTCGTGCGAAGTGCTTGCTTTGGACTGGAGACTTTGGCATGTGACTTTTGGAGGAAGTCTCGTACGAAACGCTGGTTTTGGAGACTTGGCGCTTCACTTTTGGAGGAAGTCTCGTACGAAACGCTCGTTTTGCAGACTTGAAGAGTTAGAGTTTTTGAGGAAGTCTCGTGCGAAGCGCTCGTTTTGGAGACTTGACGAATTTTGGAAGAAGTCTCGTACGAAATGCTCGTTTTGCAGTGTTAGTTTTGAGGAAGTCTCGTGTGAAGGAGACTTGACGAATGAATTTTGGAAGAAGTCTTGTGTGAAATGCTTTTGGTGGAAGTCTCATACGAAACGCTCGTTCTGGAGATGTGACGGTTGACTTGCAAAGAGTATCCCACAAGAGTGTCCTGCAAAGTCCTACAAGAGATTACAAGAGTGTCCCACGAGAGTGTCCGACAAGAGTGTCCTACAAGAGTGCGCCGCAAGAGTGTCCCACAAGAGTGTCCGACAAGACTGTCCTACAAGAGTGTCCCACAAGAGTGTCCTACAAGAATGTTTCACAATAGTGTTTCGCAAGAGTGTCCCGCAAGAGTGCCATACAAGAGTGTCCCAAAAGAGTGACCCACAAGAGTGTCTTACAAAAGTGTTCCGCAAGAGTGTCCCACAAGAGTCTCCCACAAGAGTGTTCCACAAGACTGTGCCATAAGAGTGTCCGACAAGAGTTTCCTACAAGAGCGTCCCACAAAAGGGTCCTACAAGAGTGACATACAAGAGTGTCGGACAAGAGTTTCCCACAAGAGTGTTCCACAAGAGTGTCCTACAAGAGCGTCCTACGCCTACAACGGTGTCCCACAAGAGTGTCATACAAGAGTCTCCCGCAAGAGTGTCTTACAAGAGTGTCCTACAAGAGTGTTCCACAAGACTGTCCGACAAGAGTGTCCTACAAGAGTGTCCCACAAGAGTGTCCTACAAGAGGGTTCCACAAGAGTGTCCCACAACAGGGAGCGTCATACAAGGTGTCCAACAAAAGTGCACAAGAGTGTCCCACAAGGGTTTCCGACAGAATGCGTAAGAGTGTCCTACGCCTACAAGGGTGTCCCACAAGAGTGTTATATAAGTGTGTCCCGCAAGAGTGTTGCACAAGAGTCCACAAGAGTGTCCCACAAGAGTGTTCTGCAAGAGTGTCCCACAGAGTGACGAAAGTGTCGCGCGAGAGTGTCCCACAAGAGCGTTCTACAAGAGTGTCTCCTACCAGACTGTCAACAGATGTTTGGGCGTTAGTCTTCGAGTACGTGTTTGCATGTGGGTTCGTAGGTTCCATCCTGTTTTTTCCCTACCGGTGGCCGTTTGGCCAAACACACGTGCAAAATCAATGAGGAGCAGGTGTTCTTCATTCACAGCAAAACAAAAGCAAGATATGTATATGAGTCAGTTCTTTTGATCTTGTCAGTTATATATATTATATATATACACACACATAAAGCTCGGTTGAACTGATTGTCGTACACACTCCCAGCACTGATTGTCGTCACACCGAACTCTGGTCAACTCAGAGACTTCAGACGAGTGTGTCACCAAAGGGTTTCGTTGGCCTTGAAGAAAGGCGGGTTCTACAGGGTTTTATTTGTTTTGGTCCAAATGTCCACACTTGTGTTTTGGGGAGACAACCGCAAGTGGACCGCAACAGTGCAACATGTTCGGTCTTTATGTCGAACTTGAAGAGACGAGGAAAAACCACATGGGATGAACTTGGAACGATGTGAGCACCGTGCCTGGCTTTTGAGGTGTGGCAACGCACCGCTGGGGCTATGCGTGCTGCCTGCTCTGTGAGAAGGATGCCGAATGTGGCAAGGTGAGATGTTCCCGCGTTCGTGGAGACGAGGAGTCCAAAAGACAAAAAAACAATTTGTGAACGATGAACAATAGGTGAATTGTTACGTATATATAATATATACATAATACATACGCTACAGGTCAATTTGATCTCATTTGATTCGAGTTGGTCATGCAAGTTCACACCACGAAAACGGAGGTAAAGGACCAGGTTTTAACCGGGTGTGGGGACTTGTACGGATATGTTGTATGATGTTGTATGGTTAAATACCTACGTACTATTCTCCTGAGTTTGAGGCCACCAATCTACTACCACAAGATGGAGACCAACAAATACTGTATATAGCGAAAATAGAGTCCACTCATTGGGCGACCTCCATCTTGCACACCCCAGCTGGCTTTCCCTTGCCAAGGTCCAGGTCTCGGAGTGGGGTGTTCTTGAAGGCTTTGATTCCTGACACCTGCAAATCAAAGGGACGTCCACACCCTTCATCACAGCTTTTGCCCATTTTCCTCATCATTCCGGATCCAAAAGAAACCATGCTTCCACATGGAAGATCCGGATCTTACCGGCCTGGACCCCCCATCTCGGATGCAGGTTCCGGCCCTGGAAGCCGCGAGTGGCGAGTCCGGACTGCCCGGCGAAGGGCTCGTGGGTTCCGTTGCCGCCGCTGGTGGAGCTGCAGCTGCAGTGGCCCAAGAAGCGACTTGAAATCCAACCGGCCGATCGAACGGAGGGGAGTCGCTTCGTGCAGTTGTTCGTGGCAGTGACATGAAACAGATTAGACCCGTGCGTGAATTGGTTGGCAATTTGGCAGGGTTTTACAGAGTGCAGCCGATTTGGGGTCTTTATTCTGAGGGAATCCTGACAAAGACACATTTGAAAGTAGATGCAACTAATAACTAGGTTTGAAACGCCGATGCTTTGCTGTCTCGACCGTTCGGTGGCGGGGAACGCAAGCCCGCAAGACGTCGAGGCAAGGTGCAAAGCGGGATGAGAACCAGTTTCGCTGGAGCAATAAAGAGCAACATTTAGGCTCTTTGTTTGTCTAACGCCCGAGCCCATACTTCCCGCCTCAGCACCTTCAGTGCGGGCGGACTTGCGGCATCTTGCGGCTCAGGAATCCTTTTTTTCGTTGCTTCCTTTCTTGGCTCCAGGTCTGCCTGCCCCATACCCTTCAGCTCGGATTCCCAAGGCTGCGGAGGCCGCATCTGCCCCGACCCCTGCGCGGGGGACGGCGGAGGTGGTGCGGATCTTGGGCAGTGACAAGACGAAGCCCTTCCAGGCGCCGGGCGAGGGGACCAGGGTGTTGTTGGCTTCCACCAGGTGTCAAGCAGAAGACACCGAATTCGACCAAACATGCTGGACCTAAGGAACGCGGTTGCCGTTAAACCCAGGCAACGGTGAAACCCAAAGGGACGATGGATTTGTGAGGTCCTGGGACTTCCCACCGTGGGCGCCACCAGCTACGCGGTGAGGAGCGGCCGGGGGAGAGCAAAGGGAGGCGGCCGGGGGTCGGGAGTCGCGGCAGGGAGGAAGCTTCTCCAAGCCTGCCAATCAAATTGAGATTTAGACTTTGTTTCGATGGCTGGGAAGGACAAGTTGGAGCTCCCAATGGCTGGTTGGAACTTCGCAGAAAGATTTGTTTCTCCTGTCACATCTGTGACTGTCTTCCAAGCGGGACTGGACCTTGGAGTTTGCCTCACCCAGGGTGTTGCGGTGTTTGTACTGATTCTCAAGGCTCTTTGTGCTCTTTGCTCCTGGTGGGTCTTGTCAAGTTCGTCGAATCATTTCCATGATCCGCATACGGATCATCCGCATTTTCCGCAGGACTGAGGGGTTTCTAGTTAATTAGCTCAGTCCCGGGCGGAGTTTGACCCACCAATCTCATCACCTCAGGGCCTACCCACACAACCCTTCTCGGCCTGAAGGGGCCCTGAACAAGCCTCACTGAGATCCACTGAGATCCACTGAGCCGGTGAACGCATGCAGAAGGTCCTATAGTCTTCCTTTCCATTCCCAGTGCCACAAAAAAACTCTCCACAGAATCTTCACCCAGATTGAGCCCATGTTTTTTAAAACATCCTGAATCCTTAATATAAATAAGATTCAATCAGTATATCATATCCCATACTATGCTCTTTTCGAGTCTGTGCCCCATTGGATCCTTCTGGCGTCGAACGCTGGACGGCCTTCCGCCGCGGTCGACAGGACGGCCTTTCGGCGCCTGGCCTTGCTGGTGCACCCGGACAAGAACCCCGGCGAAGAGGTGCGGGCCCGTTAGGAGACGCTCGAGCCTTTTGGGTTCTTGGTTGTAAGGTGGAGATCCAAGAGTTATTAACAGTTGATCAATGTTGATCATTTAAACACAATGTCGATACCTATAGTGAGATAAATGACCAGGTTTTGCTGGGGTCACAACGGACCAGCCTGTCAGGATGCTTTCCCTTCCTTTTCGCACCACGGATTGTGATCCGCCTGGTCATGCCACAGGCGGTTGGACAGGAGGTAGCGCTTCAAACGAGAAAAGGGGACCAGCAATGACGAGCAGAACTCATCAACCCAATAAGACCTTGAGAAAGTGGTATAACATCCGTATATGTTGGATATTGGAGATAGAACTTTGGACTTTCCAGGTGGAACTCTTGTTGCCTCTCCCCGTTACTAATGTGTTTTCCAAGTTGAACCATGCGATCCGTGTCGTGTTGGTCACAAATCCCTACCACTGACCTTTGTCATCAGGAGCGCTGCCACCAGGCGCTCCTCCGTGCGCAGCAGGCGCGGGAAGCGGCGCTGGCGCTCTTAGCGTCGCCACCAAAGGCGGCTGAAGGGGCTGGTGTGCAGGCAGGGCTTCGTGCCATTCTCCTTGCCACCGGTTTTCAATAAAAAGCTGCTTTGACCAGGAGGGTCAAGGGTTGGGGTTAGGATGTGTTAGGTATTGACTCACAGCCTGACTCTGAAATTCTACGTTGGCTTCCGAAGTCGGGGTGCTGTGACTTCTGCCGCTGAGTGTACCTCACGAGGCCTGTACCAAGCCTGTGCTCGAGAACGTTTCCAGCAACAAATCCAGCAATGATGATGGTGTGTATCGACTTAGGGAGACCTCCCAGTTCGACCTGCTGGAAGGAGGGAAATAAGCCACTCTACCCGTTGGGCCACGGGGTCTCCCAATTATATAGCATTTGATGGGCCCTTGGTAGCTTATTATAGTAATCGTCATCAAACGGGCCATCCGTCGATCATGGCCAATTTCGGGGAGTTGGATCATCGTCCTCAAGTAACTAAATGCATTTCATGGACTTGGGTTCAATCCCAACATCTATCCGTTGCCCTGTTTCAGCGATTGCACCCAAACTCGCATCGGATTCGATCTTTTCACTAGTTCAGATGACCCTCCCTGTGGCTCGGCACAAGGCCCCAAAGGGGCCCACGCGGGGCCCAGCACCAAGGCCCAGGCACGGTGGAGCAGGGCTGAGTTGTTCAACAGAAGGGAACCAGGGCCAGTGAAAAATATCCAAGCAATTTTTGAGTTCCATGTTTAATACCTGTAGAGTAGTTCTGTTCGTTTGTTTGCTATCTGCCGGGAACCTCTGGGTTTAAGAAGGAGCTTGGACACACGGCGAGACGTCCTGCTGAGGTCCTGAGGGCCCACTTCTTGCCACATCCAGTGGAATTGATGTGAGTTGTGGGTTTGCGGGCTTGTGGCGAAGTGGTTGTGAGTTCTGTTCATTCTGGTGAAACTTCCCACCCCCACGGCAACCCTGGTCGTCTCCTCTCTACCAGTTCCTGACCTGTATGGAAAAAGGACACTGGACATTTGAGTGCTGTGATAAGGAAATTCATGGAATCTCTTCATCGCCAGTCCACGAATTGATCTGATGGTGAAGGCTTTTCGGATGAATCTTGCAGTTTCAGATCCTTCAACCAATGGGTTTGGCTTTCTACCATGCCATGGGTCCTTGCTGGTCTCCCTATTCTAATACACACCCACATCTCTGCCGTTGATTCAGGGCTCAGGCGGATCAGATCACCGCTGTTTTCAGCACCACTTAGAAAAGAGATCCGAACCTACCATTTCATCTGAACTTCAGCCTAACCATTTCTGAACCAACGAACTTAACGCGCTTTGTCGAAAGAACCTACCACTGACCGACCAGTCCCGCTTGGGGCGAAAGACTCGTCTTCGCCCGTCCGCCTCCACAACGCCCGAACACGCACCGCAGGGACGATGCAGCGAGCGCCGCTCGGGAACCGCAGCACCGGAAGGAGTTCGCCTCGGCGGAGGCCTTTTCCTTCGGTCTGGAGTGAGTGGGGGAGCTTTTTGTGCCATTTGGATGTTCGGCAGTTCGCAGGAGATGAGTGCAGGCTTGCTTTTTGTCAAGGCACCAGTCATTTTCCTCTTTTCTTCCTTTGTTCAGCATGCCTTTGCGTATTGGGCAGGCGGTGTGATGTTTAGGCTAAGTGGTTCAACTTTGAGTGATCACAATCCCGCGCTGGAGGCATATGTTTCCTACGCCTTGCAGTATGTGTTTGTCCGGGGGGCTTGGTTGGGAGTGCTGAACCATACACACACACACTCGAGAAATTGCATACTGAATTGAATGCCACAGGCCACACGTCCACCTAGGTATGAATGCCTAAGAAGTGAGGTGAGAGGTATGTAAGACGGTTTGACCATGAACCTGAAAGTCTTTACAATCCAAAGTCACGAAAACGAAAAGGTCGACGAGAGATCCAGCGGCGAGCGCTTGTCTGCAGAATTCAAACCGATGCAATGACCAGCAGCTTGTTCTAGTGACAAAGGGCCCAGGAGGAAATACATGGTATTCACGGCAGGTATGTCAGCATGGATCACCAGTCAAATCCGTGGTGCTGAGAAAATCAATGGATTCCCTGTGACTCCCAAAATTTCGCACACACACACACACACATGCCCCCCCGGCGTGCGGGGCGCCCCAAGAAACTAAGGAGCTGACTGACGTGCATGTGTGCTCGCAAAAAGGGCAAGAAGATGAAGACATGAAAAGGGACACGACAGGACAAAGGTGTATGTGGTTGCGATGAAGGAGAAACCAAATGAACAGGGACAAGCAGTGAACCCCACCTCATTGTCAAGACCTCGGCGACCTGAAACCTGGGTTAAAAGTAGATGTGCGTGTACATGGAACCAAATGGAGGGGCCGAAAGCCGACGAAGCCAAACCTCATTAGAGCGACCGGGGCAGACCTGTGACCTATGGGTTGATCAAGCTCTGGTCGCTGCAGCCACCTCGTGGCATAAAGCCTGCTCTAGTCCGCTATGGACAGGTTCTGGCGTGCTCGAAAGCTGCCTACTCAGTTTCGTGAATTCGTCAAGTCTTGGCGCAACTATGGCACAAGCCTATTCCGTCGTTTGTGAGCAATGGAAACGTAGACAAACCCCGGTCGACGGGGCCACAGGGGACACTCGTCGGGTTCACCCTGGAGAGACACACTCGAGAAGTTACATACTGAATTGAATGCCACAGGCCACACGTCCACCTAGGTATGAATGCCTAAGAAGTGAGGTGAGAGGTATGTAAGACGGTTTGACCATGAACCTGAAAGTCTTTACAATCCAAAGTCACGAAAACGAAAAGGTCGACGAGAGATCCAGCGGCGAGCGCTTGTCTGCAGAATTCAAACCGATGCAATGGCAGCAGCTTGTTCTAGTGACAAAGGGCCCAGGAGGAAATACATTGTATTCACGGCAGGTACGTCTGGCTGATTAGACCAGATATCAGCACGGAGCTTGACCCTCACCAGTAAGTCTGTGGGTGATCCCCCTGCTGAGAAAATCAACGGATTCCCAGTGACTCCAAAAATTTCTGACACACACACACACGCACACATGGGGCGCAACAATGTCTTCCTGCTGCAAACCTGTGACTTCAGAACAACTCCACGCACCAGGGAGAAACACAAAGCAACAAAACCTCAGTAAAATAAAGGGTTTCCAGCTTCTCCATTTCAATGGTTCCTCGCAAGAATGCTCTAAACCGGTGCTTTTGTTACCAACCCATTTCGACACAAACCTCCAATTCCCCAGAGTCGCTAGGCCGCCGTGACATTGTACATACTGTATGTACCTACTTCGCCGGGCGCAGGAACTTCTTGCACATCCGCACATGGGCGTAAAGCAAACACTCAATTTTAGGACGCCGGCACGGGTTCATTGGGTCGGACCATCTGTGCTCCGGTCCATGTGGGTTCCAGCGCTGAGGACGAGTGGCAGCGCTTTGTGGACCTGGCACTTGGTGGCCCAAACGACGAGAAGCGAAAGAAGGAACCAAACACTGCGCGCTGCGTGCGTGTTGGGATGGGATTGGGTGGGTTTGGTGCAACATCATGGAGACCCAGAGGAAGAGAATCACCCATGCTTTTTGGGGAGCTTCATTTGCAATGGTTTGGGTGTTCCAGATTTTGACCCACACCTGGTACTGGGCTGGGTTTCACCGTGCATCGCGCATCTTTTCTCGCCGTGGACTTACGGATGGTGCATGTCCACAAGTCCACTACTCCTTCTAGATCAGCTTGATTTCTTCAAAACACCAATGATGTATGATCTGGGGCACTAACTTCTGGCATGTATGATGGCCCTGCAGTGGTCATCGCCAGTCTAGTTTCTGTTGCCTTGTGGTGGGACCACCCGCCCACCCACACCCACACCCACGCCCACGCCCACGCCCCGCGCCCACGCCCACGCCCACGCCACACCCACACCCACACCCACACCCACACACCTTGTAATTTTATGTGACACAACATATTCTAATGGACTACTGCATATATATATTATTACATAAATATAATATTTATATATTTATGTTCTATCACCAGCCAGCCAACCCTTTCAGGCCACCGAGAAGCGTGCCGTGGCGGCGGCCGCCTCGGGCGGTGCTGAGGGCGTCTTGAGGCGTGGATCTTGGTTTCTATCGGCCAAGGCTTCGGGTGATGGTGCCCAAAATGTTTTGGGGTCCTACCGTAGATTGCTATTAAGGGGAGGCCATCGCTGGTAGGTTGGAGGCCGAAGGCTGGATTCCCGTCGCACCCCAAATTGATTACAGTTCGCGTGCTTCCAAGTTGCTTGGGCGAATCTCCTCCCAAATCTAATGATCTCAGAACCTTAGACAAAAGTTGCGAACACACACTCGGGAAATGCGTACGGTACTGATGTGGTCTGAACATCCTCAAAGTTTCAAAAGTCGGGTTGTCTGGACGTCTTCAAAACCTCCAACTGCACCAAGTTGCAACTGCAAGTCGGTCAAGCTCATCAGCACTTTAATGCAGAACCGAAGCTGAGAGAGGAGTCTTGTTCTAGTTATGCACGGGACCAAGGAGGAAGTAACTGGTGATCATCCTCATGCATATCACAGCAAACTTGAAGTGTCTTCGTTGAGCAGTGACTTCAAGCATGCCCACCGTTCCCTTGCTGAAAGAGACCAAAAGGTCCCCTATGATTCCACAAGGGCTTCACACACACAAAGGTCTGTCACACTCAAAAGGTTTTCAACAAACAAATTGGAAGCTGTGCCAGTGCCAAGCGCTGCTTCTGTTACCCAAAGGGTCCTCGTGTTTCCATATGGGCTCATCTCCCGTGATAGTTGCCGCAGGCTTTATACTATTGACATGCGCTTCCTATCGAGTTACAACAATGGCTCTTGATTTGTCGAAGGATTACACTGACTCCACCAACTGCGTCCAGAAGACCAGTCTCAACCCCCCTCCCCAACATAGAGGTGGTGATTTGTTTCCAACCTAGTTAATCATATGGAAGTGGATTGAATTCCTTCTACTGCGCAAAATTTCTTGTTTCTGTCTGGACCACAGCAGGTGTTTTTGGAATGCATGCAAACACCATTCCCTCATGGGCACGCTCCAAACACAGCTGTTCCGCCAGATCACAAGTCGCCATGCAGCAAACCTCCAAGTCGGTGAAGGCCTTGCAGAAGCTGCTGAAGAATCAGGCCGAAACGATGCCGGACCTCATACGGCACGGACCGCGATGGGCGGGATGGTCCGTCAGCAGGTTCTTCCCTTTTTGTTTCGACTCTTGAGATTGGCGGTGTGTTTGGGCAGAACGCCCCTTCAAGGACCACACCCCAATCTACGGCACTGTTGTGCTCCCAGGCGCTTGGCAATGATGTGCTCGCCAAAGTGGAGCGAGTCGGGGATCCCAGATCAACTGGTGGGAACGCTGTGGGGACAGAGACAGTCGGCTCGTTGTAAAACATGTAAAAACAGCGCATTTTTAGAGTCCCCAAAGGGTGGAAACACTTTCGTACCTATAACCCATCTGAAATTTGTGACCATAGTAACTAAATACCAATTAAACATAGAAGATGTATTCTTGTGAACTCTCAAGGGTGTGAACTACCGCGGCCCAAAGCGGTTAATACGGCTATTGCGGTTTGGGACGTATAGCTATTGCAAGAGGAAGATCCCCAATCAACAGGTTTTGGTCTACTTTTCCTTAAACCAGGACGGCCGAATTGGGAGTATTCTGATACTCATCCATATGATCGCAGGGTAACCTCATGTACATCCGATGGAACACTTCTCAATCCCGCGATCAACGATGGTTCACCTTTTTTTTATCTCGATCGACCGGCTTTACTCCTGACAAAAAAGGAAGAGCGCAGAATCCATTTGTGCAGTACATGACATTCAGTGGTGAAACGGAGTTTTGGTGAGCAGAAACCTCGCCAAACGGGCAACCGGTAGATTCCGTAAGGTCTGCCGTGGCATGCTGTGCAAGGAGTATGTTGAAGCCAATCAGGCTGGTGCCGGGGCAGTTTTGTGCCGGCCAAAGACTCATAGGCAACGTTCAATCTTGGTTCATCCTAGGTTTGGTTGTCTTTATATGAGTATGGGCAGAAGACATCCTTGGTCAAGCCATTTCTTTTTGATTCGTGACTTCACCTAGCCGCCATTTCGGCACGTTTGCTTATTCTGGAAGTCATGCGACGCAGGCAAAAATCTGGGCACACACACACCTGAAGAAGAGCTAGCATCCCTTTGGCTTGTGCAAATAACTTCATAAAAGATTGACTTCAGGATGACAAACAGTTACACATCCCTACTTTCCTGGGAACAACACCTACCGCCCTTCTATTAGTTTCAACACGGCCAGTATAGCGCATCGCTCGGACTTGACCTTATCCTCCCACTATTTGATTGTCAGACATCTTCAACTCCACGCATATTCGGTGGTAAATCAAGGAAGATGGAGTGAGCGCCTCAAAAACCGCAAAGACATCACACCAAACCTCTTGGGACGATGTGACACCCCAAAAACAAACGAAAGTAACATTGGCTGCCTCCACTCACTTGGAATTTCATGGATCTTCTGTAGCAATTTCATTGCTCTGTGCTTTAGAACGGCCATGGAAGAAGATGACTGGCTTTCAGATTACATCCTGAGCATCCTCAAGTCGCCCACCTGGTGGGTGCCGTGCCTCGCTTGTTACAGCTGAACAGACAGGCCTTCAGTCCGGCATGCTCATGTGGTGAGGGAGGAACAGCGTGGAACAGGGTGGCTCATGCAGTCAGAACCGCAGCAGGTGGCTCCGCGGGGGTGTTGTTGCTGTATTTACGTGGATTTTTCAAAAAGCCAATGGCACACAACCCTGCACCAGTTGTTTGTGGAGGAACCTAGTCTTAGTTCGCAAAGAGGCTGTCAGGGAGGCCAGGATGAAAGTGGAACATCTCCAGCTGGTTCAGGGAACCACAAGATTCACACAGAATCTTCTACTTGGTAGTTCCAAGTGATATCAACCTAAACAAAACACTCAGTGTGCCTGTGGTGTCCAAGTACGTGGTACTCTTCGAACTTGGCGAGTCCCCCATTAATTCCATTCATTCCACCACGTTCGAATCGCCTCCCAAGGACCCTGGAGTTCATGGACCAGAAGGCGATCCTCTTCGACGAGGCGGACGAGTCCACGCACGAGCAGATGCGCCTTCGGCGAGTCCGGTCGTCGTTCCGTCCGGCCGTTCGCGCGGTGGCGAGGCGGTTCGGGCGGTGTGGCATGAGGATTGGAGGACTCGAGAACATGTTTTTGAGTCCTGCAGGTTAGAGCAAACATGATCAATATCTTGAATCCGGCCACCCCCCCTGTAACTCTGCAAAAAGGTTTTTTTATTAAGACAACCAGCGAAAATTAGCACCAGGAAATCCTAGATAATTCATCGTTACCTGGGGCCTCTCCAAATGGATTTTGAATATGCTAACTCCTCCACTCCTCTCCTGCCCCTCCTGCCCTTTCTTCCCCTTCTTCTCCTCCACTCTCTTCTCCTTTCCTCTCCTCTCCTCTCCTCTCCTCCTCTCCTCCTCTCCTCTCCTCTGTTCTCCTTCCCTCCTCTGCCCTCTCCACCCCCACCAGCACCAGCACCACAGCAGCCATCACCACCACCACCACCACCAGCACCCCCAGCACCAAACAGCAGCCCCAGCAGCGGCCACCACCACCAGCCCCAGCAGCCGCCACCAGCAGCAGCAGCAGCGCCACCAGCACCACCACCAGCACCACCAGCACCAGCGCCAACAACCCAGCACCCAGCCCCAGCCCCAGCCAGCCCCAGCCAGCCGCAGCACCAGACCAACACCAGCCCCAGCCGCCACAGTCTACATGTTCATTGCTGGATTTGACATATCTATATAAGTGAAATATTTTCATGTGACAATCTAGCACACCAATCACTAGAAGCAACGGTTCGAAAAGACCGGCCGCGGAACAGAAGTGGAGGTCACGATTCCAACCTCCTGTTGCTTGCAGGTTAGACAGAGGCCAAGACGAAACCAAATCTTCACAAAACCCTATAAACCCTAAGCCCTAAACCCTAACAGCTGCTTGGCCGACGAAATGGGCCACCAGATTTGACGACATTTAGCACCAGAAAAAGCACAATTGGAAGCACAAAAACAGGCACCAGATTTGACGAAATTTAGTACCAGAAAAAGAGCACAATTGGAAACACAAAAAAGAGCACCAGATTTGACGAAATTTAGCACCGGAAAAAGCACCAGGAAAGCGCCAGAAACTGCACAGGCGGCCACGACAAAGTCAAACGCTGCTGAGGCCAAGTGCTCCGAGCGATCTGCTTTTGGCTCGCAGGTTCATTCTGGACGCGCGAAATTTAGCACCAGATTTGACGAAATTTAGCACCAGAAAAAGCACAACTGGAAGCACAAAAAAGCACCAGATTTGACAAAATTTAGCACCAGATTTGACGAAATTTACCACCAGAAAAAGCACAACTGGATGCACAAAATTTAGCACCAGCTTTGACGAAATTTAGCACCAGATTTGACGAAA